TTGTAGATGGGCGTCACATTGGCAAGCCAATATAATGCATATTACATGTTCATAATATTGTGGAGGACACCAAGCTGCAGGATGTTTTGGGTACTTTGAAGGACATGGTTAAAATTGAAGGGTTTTTTTTTTTCAGTTTTCAAAGTCATCAATAGACTATTCTGTAAAATTCTGTACTTTAGAAAGGAAGAATGAAACTAAAATACAGAATACCTAGATAAGCAGCCACATAGCAGAGAAGTATTGACGTACAAGGATCAGAGACTACATGTCAGTCATGGCATATGTTTTGTTTTGGATCTATTAATTCACAGCATTTGTATGTAGAACGGTGACTGTTACGCTTTGCTTGGTGCTGGTAAGATTCCATCTAGGGTGAAGGGTAGGGGATAAAAAAATTAAGACACACTTGTATGAAAACACTTTGGAGAGTCTTACATGATTTCAGAACATCTCAATAGCATTGTTCTATGAAGAAAGCATTTAAAAATAGCTCTTTTTAGACAAGAAAAATACGACTGAGACAACACTGTAACAAGTTTTCACATATTTTTAGAAAAGGGGACAATGGTCACTTGTTTCTGTCAGCTATCAAAGCAAAGGATAAGAGATCAACTTTAATTATCAAGAAGATGAAGTTTGAAAAACTTACTTTTAGGTTGGAGAGAGAGGGACATCTAGACATCTCCATTGCTGAGCTTAAGAAAACATACAGATGTATCAGATACATCTAGAACAGAGTAGTTTAAGGTCTTGTGTCAGAAGAGAAAGGTGGGATTGGTAAATCCTTAGCATCTGACCTAGCCTTTATTTTTGTTAAATACAGAAGCAGGAAAAAAACCAATCTACAAAAAGTAGCAAAACATTAAGTGATTGTAATGTAATTTGATTACTACAAAATGAACAGTGTTTTTGGAGCAGTGGGAAGGAGAAAGGTAAGTTCACTGTCAATGCAGCAATTGTCAGGGTTCTAATGGGAATCATGCCAACTTCTGTTTCTGCCTTAATTGTATTCCTGACAAGTTAAAACTACCTATCTAGGTAAATTAGATACATGTAGCTTTAGCCCTGTATTGATCAGGGCATAGATATGTTGTATTTTCAAGGTCACATTTTTCTTGCTGTTTTAGCTAATTTGCAAAGCTGCCTACTCAAAATAAGTATCTACTGAATTACAGAAAGAGAAGAGAGTAGTATTTTACTACGAGCAGAGTGGGTATGTTAACTTAGAAAGATGAAGCATCTGGTAACGGTTTAGGTAATACAGGTCTCTTAAAAATGGTATAAGGTGGAAAACTTGTTTTCTAGCCTTTACATCTGACACTTTTTTTACTTTATGATGCAGTGCTCAGGAAGTTTTAGTAGTCTCGTTTTAGTATAAAACATCTATTACATTTTATGTTCATCAATGAAACTTCCTTCAGGTTCTTTTACAATTATGTTTATATGTATTCCATTTCATTTTGAATTAACGCTGCATTAATGACTAAAACTTTATGGGAACTTATGAGTTAGAAGCACTTATTCCGATGACATTCCAGTTGCAGAGAAAAAGGAGTAAAGCTCTCCAAGGAAACCGGGCTCGAGGGCTGCTACAGAACAGGAAGCTTTTGTAAAAATGTGTATGATACTGCTCTTGTAGACTTCTTTATAAAGATAAGAATGTTGAATTGCAGTTGCAGATAATCTTTGACTCATAATAAAATATTTTGAAAAATATGTATGCTTTCCTTAAAGTGACAATTTTAAAGCAAGATAAGATCCTTTTGATTTTTTTCAAGTGTGGAAACCTTGCACTGTTATGGTTAACTGCACTGCAGTTTGGCTAAATGGATATACTAAGCATATGAGAATGTAATTTTAGAATATATTCTGTGCAGGTAAGGTGAAAAAATATAGGCTGGGTAACTTTAATAGGCAGCTTTCATTGAAAACACTGATTTTGTAGGAAGCCAATGATAGTTTGGTATTGTTTTTATTAATATTTTCTATGATTTGCCTGCACCCATTTAGTAGATATCAGATTAATAAAATGTAAATGCCTAATCTCTAATTCCTAAATCTTTAATGCTATAGAGATATTTGTTCAACAGCTGTAAATATTTAAGGCAACAAAAATTCTTTATGACATTGAGAAGAATATTTCAATTGACTTTATTCATCCATTTAAAATGTTCACTGTATGTATGAAAAGTTTTCATGTTTTAAACTATTCCGCCCCCTTTGTGTATGTGTACCAGCTGTACAGTGGTTTCTCAGTACTAATTAAGCTATCGCTTTTATCTTGCTTGTAGAAGAAATCTGTTATACTCTCTATATTAAATACATTGCATTCTTTTCTGTAATAACTGATTTGTGCCTAGTAATATGGTAGTATTCTGTAATTTTTTTCATTGTTTTTGGTTTTTTTTTGTTGGTTGGGGTTTTTTCATCAGATCAGTCTTTTTTTTAAAAAATCACTCTTGTGTTAATATTCTCACAACTTGCTCTTTCACTTCTGTATCAGGGTGATGCAATAAAGATGCCAGTTTCTGAGCAAATGGGGTAGAGTCGCTGCAGAGTGTAAAGAAAATTGAATCTTCGCTGTATTGGTCCTGAATCATGGTGCTGTCTTCATTGTTCATGTTCTTTTTCAAGTTTGCTGCAAACGCCAGGGCTCTAAGCAGAATATCTCTGTTTATACAAGTGTCAAAAAGTAACAGCAATGATGGCACCTAGGATTTTCAAGAAATAATTCATACTTAATCACCAGCATTAAGTACGCGTAACTAAATCTCCTAACTTTAAAAAAAATGGAGAAAAAAATCTGCACCTAAACCAAACAGAAACCCTATGAACTACCAGAACTCCATATGCTGTGAAAGCATGCCAGAAACTTGCACAGCATGCACATTTCCTCTTTAGAAAAGACTGGCTTGTGCATCACAAGCTAATAAATGCGTTGTACTTTCAATCTCCAAAATGTGGCTGTCTGGAAAATTCCCATTTGGAAGAGAGGGTCTGCTTTCCTTCTCAATAATGTTGCTTTTGCCCTCTGCAGTGATCTGAATGTTTTTATGTTAGCACATCTGATAAATGAGAAAAGGATACACTTTTAACAGAGAACTGAATATTCAGCTACCCTAATCTTGTTTTAATAATGAAAAGTCAGTAGTATATAGACTAGCTGTGCTCATGGCAGCACAAAAATAAAAGCCACTGCATGTTTTAAGAAACTTTGGGGAGGGGGAGGAGGATGCAGCACCATTCCAGTCCATGACTCTTCGTTGTGGTGTGAGGAAAAGATAAAACTGAAATAAACCTGTATGCCAAGGCCAGCAGAAGCAAATGTCAGATAAAGTTCTCCACGAAGACATGCGAAGTAAATGCACAGGGAAAGTTCACTTACAGTGCTTAGATTCAACAGTTTTATGGCTGCATTTGAGTAAAGGGGTGGGGATTTCAATGGAATTTAGTTCTCTTAGGTACAGTATGTTAGCTATAGAAACAGCTGTTGAGAAGGATCATTTACAGTACTGGTTGTATTTGATGTTTGTACCTGGTCTTCAATCTATATAATGGCTGCATGTCTGGAAATGAGGTTTTGGGTTTGTTTTTGAAACTTAGCAGGGTACCTTTTATATATATTACATACAAAAGTTCATGGTACTACCCCTTTAGTGGAAAGGGAAGGTGAGAACAGGCTTCTGCAAGTTGTCACTGATCATTTGGAACGGTACACAGGAAGTATGACCAGCTGTCTTCAAGTGCATAGGCCCTGTGAGTGTCCCTCTGCAAGTACGGTATCTGTATTACACTACAGGCTGGAAGAAAGCTAGCCTGTGACAGAATGTACGCTTCTAGCTCCTAATTTTAACCAAGTACTGCCTAGAATTTTACTGTGGAGTTGCATATATACTTCTAATACATTAAAATTCTTCTAATGCATGCATATATCTACACACATACACCTGTATAAATGCTAGAAATATAATGAAACAGCAAGAACCTTACTTGAGCTCTGAGAAGATGTCTTGTCATAGCTGGGTTTGCAGATAAGTTCACAAGTACTTTCAAAACTTGAATCTGAAATGAGGAACATACAAGTTCATTACAAGCTCCAAAAACAGTAAGCACAGCAGTGATGGGCATCAATAATGTCAGTGTTGACTTGGAGAGGAAAAGGTAGAATGGGTCAACTAACATCTTGAATTGTGCACTTCAGTCTTTGGTGTAAGAAAAAACAGAGTTTATGGAGTCACTAGCATGTATGTACTAAGTATAGATATTTTAGAAGCAAATTCAGTTTGCCTTAAACATCAAAATAAAGCAAGATTATACACAGCTTGCAGTAGGCAAAATACGTAATATTTTTAAAATATACAGAGGATGGTTAAGTATTGTATTTAAAATGTGATCAGAAGCATACAGAAATACACCTTTGTACTTTCCTGGACCTTGTGACACTAATCTTTTAAGTAAACACTAGGAAAAGACCAAATGCTATTTATTATACTTAAATAAAATAGCCCTGCTAAGTTTAGTGGAAATTTGTGTTTTGGTCTGATAGAGCAACTGAGTACATTGATGATGGCACTGCGACATCTTGAATAAACACTGACTTTGGTCCCTGTTTGAAGCTTTTATCTTCTTTCAATGTTACAATAATTCACAAATAAGCACAATTTCCCATTGCAGTCACTAGGGTTGCAAGAGATTTAATAAGCATAAGGGAACAGAAGTGTTTTGGAAAACTAGTTTTGATCTGATAGAGCAACATTGATGATGGCACTGCGACATCTTGAATAAACACTGACTTTGGTCCCTGTTTGAAGCTTTTATCTTCTTTCAATGTTACAATAATTCACAAATAAGCACAATTTCCCATTGCAGTCACTAGGGTTGCAAGAGATTTAATAAGCATAAGGGAACAGAAATCCGTAACTGAGGTTATCGCTGCTTGCATGTTTCCCTAGAGGCGTTCATGCACCAGTGAAGCCTTTCACATGCAGATCCTCCTTGCTCTGTGATGCAGTAGCAATGTTTAGCGAGCAGAAGAGAATTCTGGAGTTGCTATAGCAAAGGCGTAGGACAATAGCAGTGCACACAGCACTGGTTTGGTAGAGCTCTAGCCCAACAGTTCCACTATCAAGATTCCCTTCCTCCCCTTTTCCTGAATTTACATCAAGAAAATAATATAGATCCATATTTTATGGATTGTATGTACTATCTGCTATCATTAATGAATATTTCATTTTCTAAGCACAGTCTAAACCATTTTACAAAAAACAGTAAAAAGGAGGCAAGTAAAGCAGCTTCATAAATGGTTTGTAACAAGACACTACCCAGTACCTGTGTCCTTTCAGTTCCTTCTGAAAGCAAATGAAGAAAGCATGGAATTGAGTTTATCATCTTATGGTGGTAGTCACTGATAACAGACATATTTGTCAACAATCTGAGTCCAGCTAGCTGCAGATCAGAGTTCAGGGGAGCTGACTCAACATTCCTACAAACTTGTGTAATATATACCTGGGGGAAAAGGGAAGGAGAAAGAGAAGACATTTTTTGATACAAGCAGATTTTCTATTCACAAATAGTATCAGTGGCCTAGCCACAGGAGCGTAAATGCCTTGAACACTGCTGGCTGAATACATAACCTGATAAAGGTTCTTGGAAACAATTATTTTTTTGTTTTGTTTTGAATATATTCAAACATTCTATTGGCATGATAGAAGCAGACGTTACGCTCTGAAAACCCAAATTGCTTTGACTCCATCTCTGAAGCGGCACATTTGCTTTAAGGAGTTATTTCAAAAAACACTTACAGCAACTAACGTCTTCTTACATGTTTAGAACAAGCTAAGGACAAGTCTTCGAACCATGTGTCCCATTCACTGGAGTACTCCTCAGGAACAGTGATGACAACCGACATTAACAACTACTTTTTACCAAATTTTCTTCTGGATGACAGTATACAACGAATCTTGGAGTCCTAACTAAGAAAAAAATTACTTTGCCTTTAGCAAAGGAGTTGTTTTCTACCTATATGCCTATATAGGTATCACTGTTGGCAAGCACTACTTCGAAGTTGCTCAGCACTAAAGATGCTGCGAACTACCAGGTACAGTCAAACCGCATTTTTATCAAGTTAATGAACAAACTAGTAAAAATCTTCAAATCTGCTTCAGCTCAGTGCTTGGACACTTCTTGATCTATTGATTAATCTGATAATATCAAAAGTGGATGCTTTTTTGATGGTTGGTCCTTTCACATCCATACCATCTCCTTTATTTACCAGTGGGACTTGTTATCTTTATTACACACTATTCTTTTAAGATGAAAGTATCACCCTGAAAAATTGGTCTTATACAAACCCAGGGGATCAATTACTGTCTTCTTGTCCCTCGCCTAAGTCATGCTAAGTTCAGTCTGCAATCCGTCCTATTAAACAACCACTGCTGATGTTCTAGCCATGTTTGGAAATCATCTTGCCTCACATAACTTCACTATAAACTTAGCAGCGCAATCTCTGTTTAATAGCATTTGGTGAAAGCTGAATACAAACTGCCTAGTTTCGTAACTGTCTTTTAAAAAAAGTGCCAGTGATACACTGCATTTTTAAGTTATCCTTTTGGCCTTGGGACACACAGATCTTCCAGATCTGCTGACTCCTATGTCTAACATCAACATTTGGCATCCTGGCTTGTATTTAACAAATATGCTGAAAGTCCTGTGTCTCAACTACTTTTATGTTTCCCTTTAAGAAACTTACCTGTATCTTTTGCTGATTTTTAATATTCATACTCAAATTATTAAGTGCATTTAGTGCTTTTTCTTTAACTTTGGGAACGCAATCTGAGAGCATCCCTCCAATAATAGAAAGGCCATCCAAATTTCGGATTATATCCTGAAATATAAACCAGATATTTAATAAGATTATTAAAAAATTAAAGGCTTTCCTCAAAGTTTCCATTTTAATGCAAATGGAGTGTGACAATGAAGACTTCCAGAATAGACCACTCTGTTTAAAGAGAGAGTGTTAGCAGATACTGCTTTATTGCTTCCACTGAAATTAAGAATAATCCTGCTTAGGGCCAAAGTATTATTTAACAATGACACAACACCTTTACTTCTAAAATTTGGCCTGCAAAGCATGCTTAAAGCATTTTAGATTATAAAGAATCAAAGGTAATTATTGCATAATGAGTTTATAGAATAGCTGACAGGTCACAGTACCTAAAAGTCCAGACTGAACAGAACAGACTTTCAAGATGCAGCTTTATATTATTATGAGTAGAAGTTCTAAAACTTTATCTTTCTTTTCCATTACACTTGATACTTAGACTCTGACCATCAACAAAAAAAAAAAAAAACATGTACCGTTTTCAAGAAAATGAAAAATGGGCCAATGGGCCTTGGGATTCAGTTACATTCTGTTCTGAGAGATTTATATTAAAAAAACAGTTTCGAGAAGCTGTCATAAGTACCATACAAAAAGAAAAAAAAAAAAAGAAAAAAAAAGGGTGGGACCCTAGAGGTTAAACCTTTGCAGAAGCATAAAAATCTGCATCCAGCTCAAAGTTTTTCTGCATCATCATTTCCAATTGATTCAGAAATCTGGATAGTTGGAAAGTTGCTAAGATGTAAATGGCATACGACTTTGTAAAGACAAAAAATTAAATTACTTCAGTAAATTTCAGATCTGATCCTGAAAGTATTTAACCCTTCTCCAATTCAACCCTTTCATTAACATTACATAACTGTAAGGAACAAAAGATATAAAGATATTTACAGCACTTTGAAAATATTGAACTCTGTACAGACTTAAAGTTGTACACACATTAAGCTTAGATAAATTTTGTGAAGCTGGTAAATTATATTATTTGGCTAGCAGAAATTAAGGCATAGACATAAAATAGATTTTAGAACACGAGTTATCATAGCTCTCAGTCCTGTGTCACTCTTCAGCAAAACAGCACCTCTCATCTTCCATACTGATGGGTATTGAAACACTGTTGTTTTCTACAGAACAATACTTACTTGATTTACAGAGAACGCAGCACTGTTGCTGAGAGTGATTAAAGCTTGCTCTTGAATTAATGGATCATCTGTGGCCTGGAGCAAATGAATGAGTTTCTGTAGAGCATCCGCATCCATGCTATGGGTTGACACTGGAGGATTGTTGTCTGTCACTGTTTACAAATTAAATACTTGATACCAAGTTTGAGACATTTCACTTAGTTACCACTTAACATTTTTTACAAAGCTGAGGTTTAGCTCTCAGTTGTAGGACGCGTTGTTCTAAGTTTGATTGTACCCAACCATCATATCATGGCAAAAAGATTGTGTTTTACAACAGCCGGACTTCCGTCCTTTTTCCCGAGTCCTCTCACTACCTCTTTTCATAGTAGAAAATAAAAGAAATACATAATAAGAGCTTGAGGGTACTATTTGGTTAACCAACAGCAAACCTCCCCTTCAAAACTATTAGGAATATTCACCAAACATGGTAATTTTTTTTTCCTTGTGTTGCCTGAAATGAAATGTGGAAAATCTGTCTGGACACTGTAGGAAAAGAAAATAAAACTTCCGACTTGCAGACTACAGCTTCCAGAAATGATGATAATGATGTTTTGCTAGTACCCTGAGGTCCTTTGACAAAGTAACAGCCACAACGTTAAGAATGGCGTCAGTCGTCCAACCGAGGAAGGCTGTTCCTGAGTCAGAATGATGTTATAGACTACCTGGCTTTCATAAAAGGGTGACACAAATGCCATCAAAGACCATTTTCAGCCAGGTTGGAGGCAGAACTATTTAGCTAGCTGAATAGCCTGAAGACCCGATCTATGACTACTGGACTAGTCATAGATGACTCGAGATGACTTTTGAAAAGCTAACCAGTCCTTTATAATTCCACATATTTGCTGCCACCATCTCACCAGGCAAAACACCAGAGTATTCTTTGGGGGGGGGAAAAAAAAAGAGGTCAAAGTTAATTATGACATTCCAAAAGCTAGCTTGAAAAACAGAATTGTTTTTTGTCCTCGTCTCATCCTTATCTAAACACTTTGTTTAGCTTTGAATTATAGGGGGAACACAACTTTAATAACAGAACAGCACATCAGCCCATTAAGTAAATACTGACTGGACATACGCTTTAGGGGACTTAAAAAAATAAATTAGGCTATTTTAAAAATCAAACATGCTCTAGAGTCGTTTAAAAAGGTCGCATGGCGATTAGCGGGCCGGTAAGCAGTACAGCGGCACCGCCTCACGCCGGGAGCAGACGTGCCCCCGAGGCCACC